TCTCTCTCTCTCTCTCTCTCTCTCTCTCTCTCTCTCTCTCTCTCTCTCTCTCCTCCTCCCCAGATCAGGTTTTCTTTTGCATCCACCCTTTTTCTGTATCATTCAACATTAAACCCTAAGAGTGAGAAGCAAATGCTCACTGCTACATTAAGTTATGACTTAGTTTTGAGCCGAACAGGTCCCCAGCCCCCAGTGGGCTCTGGAAAGACTTATCTGCTTCGCTCATCGTACTTTGTGTTCAGGGAGGGGGAGGAAGGGGGGGCACAGACTGAGATTTTATATCCAGGATCATGACTCACAAAATTCTAGCATGATTTTCCAGGGACGGTTCATGTAGAAGTTTTGTAAATTCTGATGACAGGAGAACACAGGGAAAGCCACTTCATGGAGGGATGTCCCACACTGATTTGTCCTCTGCACCTCAGAGCCTCGCTGTCTCCCACAATCTCCACCGGACAGTGAGGAGAGCAAACCCTTCAGGTTGTGAATCCTGAATCAAGAAAGGCCCAGCACCAGCCTGGTGACTATGCTCCGGACTGAGTTCCTCTGGGTGATTAGGGGGTTTCTCCAAAGCCTGCTGACCTGACTGTGTAGGCGAGGTAGTGCCACACACTCGCACATGTAGTGCCACACACTCACACAGGTAGTGCCACACACTCACACAGGTAGAGGCTACACTGGAATCCTGGGAAAGGAAGTTGGGTTACTTCCACCTGTGTCTATTGAGCTCATCTAAACAGTAGGGACTCCCGGTGTCTGATGTCATTAGAGTCACTGTAGGTCTGGAAAAGGTGACAACATCCTACCACGAATGCTCTCTGGATTCGGGTGGGGAGAGAAAAATCTACCAGCACAGTAATTCTGTCTTCCTCAGTGGAAAAAAAAAAATGGCTCTTTTGGTGCAAGTGAGTAACTCATGTTTAGTGGGAACACTGTCAGGGGCATAACCTGCCTCCTGGAGGACACCACGCTGAAGGTACTCAGGAGAGCAGGGCCACCCAGGAGCCACTGCCCACCAGCCCAGTTTGGTACGGCACCCACCAGATCAGAGGAGGAGTGACAGGAGGCGGATTACAAAGGCAGCAGGAAGTCTAGCATGCATCAAGGGGTGAAGGAGGATAGCAGCCGTGAGGGTGTTTCAATGTCTTAAATCCACTCGCTGTAAAGTGACAGCCCGTTTCTCCTTCAAAACACAGGTGAGGCACACACATAGCCACCCTCAGCCACAGACACCCCCCCCACCGTGTGAATGAGTTCGGGGTATCCATTCATTCCAGGACTCACAGACTCCAGTGAGCTTTTAGTGTGAGCCAGGCCCTGTGGAAGGTTAGGGGACAAGCAGGTCTGCCACTGGGTACGGAAGCTCCTCATGGTGCAAAGAGCCTGGCCGAATGCACAGGGAGCCAAGAGAGCAGGTCAAAGGTGTGGCACCAGGGGCAGAGGGTGGCCGGCAGCAGCTTAGCCCTGGTGAGGGGAGGGCTGGGGCAAGCGAGCATGACCCGAGAGGTAGTGGGGTCCCGGAGGAGACCCACAGGACAATGAGACTTTGAGAAGAGCATGAGAGAAGGAGGAGAGGGGAGGAAGGGTCCTGCATCCCCCCATCCTGAGTGGATCCTGGTGAGGGAAAGCCAGGAGCCCAGGGTGCTAGCAGGAGGGGGGAATGGGGCCCTCATACAGACAGAAGCACTCCCAGGTCCCTCCAGGAAGGGAAGGGGAGGGGAGGAATAGGGACCAAGAGAGAAGCAGAGTGAGAGAGAGAGAGAGAGACTTTGAAGGCCTAATGGGGAGGGCAGGAAAATATGGGTGACACCAACAAAAGGTAGCCTGACAGCTCTGTCGCACCCTAGCACTCAGTGACCACAGGGCAGCTTACACCCCCATCCCTGGGACTTCTGCAGGCAAAGCTGTGCCACCCCTAAGCCCAGCCCTGGTCAGCAAACATCCTGAAGAATGCAGAGTCACAGGTGGCCCTGTGCTGGCCCCTCCGGCACAGGAGAGGGAAGGCCAAGTGGGCCCCTGATGGGGGGCAGAGGTCAGCACTCCCTCCCAAGTTCTCCTAGACCCAGCCAATCTGGAAGCTCCGAGCAGAGAAACTCTCACGGGACAAGAGCCCTGCCTCCTAGACTGGGCCTCAAGGGTGCTGAGGGAGAAGGTGATTTTCAAGTTAACGGGTCAGCAAAGATGGAGCACCCCCACCCTCACCTGAGCCCTCTGAAATAAGCCCCGCCCTTAACACCAAGAGCCTCCTGGGCCAGCAGGCTGCCTCCTCCGGCCATCATACACCTGCTTCTTGTTCTATGCCAGGGCAACCTGAAGGACACAGGACCAACAACAAGTGACCCTAAGGACACACCAGGCACTAGGTTCCATGCTGGGCACCAAGCTGAGGTGGGTGGGGGAAAGGGCTGTGTTGGATTCACCTCCCAGTCCCTCGCCTCTGAAAGAGGCCCAGAGTCCAGGAATGTTGGGGGACAGGGAGCGAGGGGAGAAAAAAGGGAAGTGGAGAGAGGAGGGTGGTAGAAAGAAGGGAGAGGGGACGGAAGAGGAAAGGAAGGTGCAGATGAAGAATGGAGGAGCAATGAAGCAAGGGCGGGTTCTCCTCCCCCTCCCCCAGCCCTGTCCCTCTCCCCCACTAGGAGCAGGCTATGCTCCTAGAGAGAGAGAGGGTCACACTTCCCAGGGGCCGCTGGGAGGCCCAGCAGTAAGCTGTCACTGTTCACTGCAGATCCAGGGAAGGCCGGGGCAGCTGGGAACCAGGTAAACCATTTTCCATCCAGAAAAGAGCCAGGAAAGAAAGGTCCTGAGAAAGAGCAGCCGGATGCCTTCAGCCCCCTGCCAGAGAAGGGCGCAGCTGACAGGAGAGGAGACACAGGTGGGTGCCCAGCAACCCAATCCGCCACTTCTGAGGCATAGGCTCTTCCCGGACACAAAGCACAGAGCCCCTTTCTCAGTGCTTGCTACCTGGGGACCTGCACTGTCCCCCAAGGCTCTGAGTCCTCCCAGCAGCCCAGAACTCAATATTCTGAAGTTCCACTAGGAACAGGGACCCTGCCAAAAAACAGCACCTGCTCAAGATAGATTTCAAGTTCAGCACCCAAGCACAGAGGGACTTTCTCTTTCTTGAAAACTCTGAGAGATGAACATGGCCCCAAGTGACCCAACCATTGCCCCTTGGAGATTCCAACAGGAATCCGGGGCAGTGGCACATGCCTGTAATTCCAGCAACTCAGGAGGCTGAGGTAGGAGGATCACAAGTTCAAGGCCAACCTCATCAACTTAGTGAGACCTTGTTACAAAATAAAAACTGCAAAGTACTGAGGATGTAGTTCAGTGATAAAATGCTTCTGGGTTCAATCACCAATACCCTCAAAAAAAAAATTCCAAAAAAAATTCCAATAGGAGAGGGCTCCTAGTGAGGAAAGGTACCTGGGAAAGTGGCCTTAGAGAATCATCCACTCATTCTACAATTATCAGGTTGGCATCGATGTTGTATGGACAAAGTATACACCTGTGCAGAGCTGATGTTTTAAAGAGAATATCCAAATAAAAGTGAAATACAATGTCAGCAAATCATAAGATTTAAAAAGAAAAATGATATGGACATGGTGATGAATGCCTGCAATCTCAGCAACTCAGGAGGCTGAGGCAGGAGGATTGCCAGTGCAAAGCCAGCCTCAGGAACTTAGTGAAGCCCTAAGCAACTTAGCAAGACTATGTTGAAGCAAATAAAATA